GGTTTTCCCCGGGCCCCGCCCCGATCCGAGAACCGAAGTCACCATCGGTTCAGCTCCACGGGTCGGCCAAATCTGGACCCGACCCGAACCGTGCCCAGGCCTACGTATATATCTTGCAGGTTGTTACAGTTGGAAAGTTCCAAGGAGGTGGTGCATTCAATGTTATTCCAGATTACAATTGGTGGTACGTTCAGAGCATTTTCAAAGGAAAGCTTTATCCAACTTAAACAAAGAACATGAAGAGAAATATCATACGCTGATTGTCCATTTTTTTTTTACAATGTCTTGTCACAAAATGTTAATTCTATAAGAATTGGAGTTGCAGGTTATAACAAGGCAAGCCAGTGTACAAAGGTGCAGTGCAACCGTCATGTTCAATGGAAACGATAAGCACTATACCCCACCGTGGCTGTTAACGACAAAGATCTGCATTAACACTTCCGAAATGTTGCAGGACATTTGCCCGGGCATCACTACATAGTGGAGAGGCAACCGATGATGGGTTCAGAAGACTTCTCATTTTATCAAGAAGTAATTATTCCAGGATACTTCTTCCTTCTTGGTATGAAGAATGAGACTTGAGGAAAGTTTGAATCGGGGCATTCACCGTTGTTTAGAATAAATGAAGACGTTCTTCCGTATGGAGCAGCATTGCATGCATCATTGGCCACAAGGTACCTCCTGGAAAATCAACCCAAATCTACTTGGCCAAAAGGGAACTCTCATGATTAGTTATGAAGCGCTAGGATGAACATGTAAACCACTTGCAGCCTGCGAGCTGCAAGTGAATTTGATGCTAGAATCTCCCATATTTAAATATGACTTTGCACAAACAAAGTCAGCTATCCCATTAAGTGTTATTTCCTTTTTATATATTAATGGTAGAGGATTTGAATTCGGGAACTCGAGAAAAAGTACCATTAGAGCTAGCCTTTGACGGTTGATCTAGCCTTTGATGGTTGAGAAGAGAAGTATCATTAAACTACCATCAAGTTGGTGTTGTACAAATTTATTAAAGACAATGAAATTATTATGATACTAATGTTAAATTAAGCAGACGATGTCCTACAGAATGCTACAGAATGAAATTATGAATGTTGTTAAAAAAAACGGCAGGTCGTTTCCGTAGGAATCATGTCACGTGTGTAAAATACCCTTCGATTGATGACGTTCTGCCATTAGCGCCTATCATCTACGAGTCTTGGAGCTCTAAAACGGTTGCTTTCTCATCCCTCGTATGATGAGGTCACCGTCTTTGGATTGTTTTGTTGGTACCCTTCCGAGAGCAGAGTCACCTGCATCTTTAGCTTTCACTCCTACCTAACCCAAAATTTTAACCCACTCTCTCATATTCTCCAATTCAATCATCAGATTCACAAGCTCAGTTCTTGCAATCAATGGCTCTCTGCAAATGGGTCTCTTTGATTTTCATAGTTATGGTGATTATGCCACTTCTCATTTCTTCAGACCATTCTTTGAGCCCGGAAGAGGTGGCTCAAATACCAGTTAAGTTCCTTGACCATGCTAAAAGGCAGGAGCTTTTTGATTTTATGGTGGGTGTTCGAAGGAAAATACATGAAAACCCAGAACTCGGTTTTGAGGAATTTGAGACTAGTAAGCTTATTAGAGCTGAGCTTGATCAGATGGGCATCCCTTACAAATACCCATTGGCTGAAACTGGTATTGTTGGCTTTATTGGGACTGGTGGACCGCCTTTTGTTGCAATTCGAGCGGATATGGATGCTCTAGCTATGCAGGTTTAGTAGAATTTTGGAGCTTTATGGATTTAGTTTTTGTCAATGTTTGAGTAGGATTATATTCATGTTGGACTTTTAGTGCTGGACTTGAGAGAGTTGGAAATTAATCATTAATATTGACTGTTATTTGAACTAGAGCTAAAGATAAATTGATGACAAGTATTGGGTTTTCTTTTGGTACAGGAGAGTGTGGAGTGGGAGCACAAGAGTAAAGTTCCAGGGAAGATGCATGCATGTGGACATGATGCTCATGTTGCTATGCTTCTTGGTGCTGCAAAGATACTTCAAGAGCATCACCACGAATTACAGGTTTCCTTGTCCTCCTTCTTTATGTGATGACTCTCAAATGAATTTATATAGTATTTCTAGAATATCAATTTTGTTGTGAAGTTGGATTTTTGTTGATGTGAACCTTTTGTGTTCTTTTTACTGGTTAATTTTATGGGTTGAAGTAGTTACATAACCTTGAACATCGTGCTGGTATGGACTTTTGACAATTTCATATAGCAATTATACATTAAAAATTGTCATTTCAGATGGGGAAACATGGTTCCTGATTCATCTCGGCTGTTACACAAAACATCAGGGAATAAAAAAATACAAAATCATTATACATATGTGTTCCCTGTTTGACAATCCCCATATAGAAGCATGCAGGTCAGCTGATTGAGATTATCGGTCCTCATGTGTGTTGAATTTCTTGGCTGGATGTTATGTGTTACACACATTAGCAGTTTGACTTAGCTTCCCAGAAGTTTACTTATAAAAGAAGAGCTTAGACCCCTCAATAGTAATTGTCATCAAGTTAAAGATGTGACTACCAAAAGTGTATCAGTACATAGATGACATAATAAGGAGGGAGGAAACATGGTGATGTTAATTGACTTTTGGAGTGCCCACTGGAAGTTGGAATTGCATTATGATGTAGCCAGCTACCAGGGTCGAGCATTGTACTTAGTCTATAGATTGCTAAGTGTGTGTGTATTTCTTAGTAGGGTTATTGGCATATTAATTACACTTAGCATCAATGACACATTCACCATAAGTTCTTTTCTCACTTACATTATTGTTAACTTCCCCGTGTCATTGTAGCACAAGCGTTGTATTCTTCAGTGGATTGTCAATTTTATGAAAATGTACTTTGAATGTAGCATAAGAAGTTGCTTGCTGACTAATGTTTCTACATAAAGAGCTCTATCTTTCCTTTATTGGGATATTTGATTATGGAGCTGCATTATTAGATATTCCATTGTTTTCTGTCAGCTGAATAACGGTCTCATGTAATATATCTCTCATCTCCAGAAGAAAGTTTTCTTAGTTATTTCTTATGTTTCTTATAGGGAACAGTTGTTCTTGTTTTCCAACCAGCTGAGGAGGGAGGTGGAGGAGCAAAGAAAATGTTAGATGAAGGGGCATTGGAGCATGTTGGTGCCATCTTTGGGTTGCATGTCGCTGCTGATTACCCCATTGGTTCAGTGGCCACTAGGTCTGGCCCTTTTTTTGCCGCGAGTGGTTTTTTTGAGGCAGTAATAAGTGGGAAGGGGGGTCATGCTGCCATTCCACAGCACACAATAGACCCAATCTTGGCTGCTTCCAATGTCATTGTTAGTCTGCAACATCTTGTTTCACGTGAAGCTGACCCCTTGGAATCACAGGTTCTCTTTCTGTCTCTCTGTCTCTCCCTCTCCCTCTCCTCTGCTTGTGTCATTTTATATCTCTCAAGTAACCCATCAAATCAAAATAGCCCAAGCAGTGCAGCTGTGTGGAAGTAAAAACTTGTATTGTTCTTGCAGCAGCCGTACGGAATGGAACTTCCAATTATATGTCGTATCAGTATCTTTTTTATAAATTATTTATTTTAGTTCTATAATCCATTTTAGTTCCTGTTATTCCTGTACCTTGGTTCTTCTTTACTTTTGAACTTTGATCTTCTTGACCCCTTTGTTTTGCACTACGCATATTTTATCGTTCCGTTGCAATAAAATCCTCTGTCCCATAAAATTTGAAGTGAAAATTCTACCCAGATCTTTTTTGCTTTCAAATATAGAAAGTAATTAAATGTTTTCTTTTCCCTATGCTGTCACTCACTCATGGGTAAATGTTAACCTCTTACTTCATGTGGTTGGAATAGTGCCGTGATTACTTCATATCCATTTAGTTATATGAAAGTATATCTTGCAGGTTGTTACCGTTGGAAAATTCCAAGGTGGTGGTGCATTCAATGTTATTCCAGATTCTGTTACAATTGGTGGCACGTTCAGGGCATTTTCAAAGGAAAGCTTTATCCAACTTAAACAAAGAATTGAAGAGGTATTCCTCCCTTTACTTTCGGCATCCTGACCGAGTGCTGAAGTGAAAAATACCCTTTGCTGTCTTTATTGATTTCGTTTACAATGTCACATTGTAAATGTTAATTCTTTATCTGAATTGCAGGTTATCACTAGGCAAGCCAGTGTACAGAGGTGTAATGCAACAGTCCTATTCAATGAAAAGGATAAGCCCTTTTACCCTGTGGCTGTTAACGACAAAAATCTGCACAAACAATTCCGAAATGTTGCAGGTGATTTGTTGGGCCCTCAGAACATATTGGAAAGGCAACCCATGATGGGTGCAGAAGACTTCTCATTTTATCAAGAAGCAATTCCGGGATACTTCTTCTTTGTTGGTATGAAGAATGAGTCTCAAGGAAAGTTCGAATCAGGACATTCACCGTTCTTTAGAGTAAATGAAGACGTTCTTCCATATGGAGCAGCATTGCATGCATCTTTGGCCACAAGATACCTCCTGGAAAATCAACCCAAATCTACTTTGCCGAAAGGGAGCTTTCATGATGAATTGTGAAGCTCTAGGATTGATAGTTAAGGGCTCTACTCATGTAAACCACATTATGAACTGCTTGCAGATTTGATGCTAGTGTCTTCGCTATGTAAAGCTGACCTTTTATCAATAATTCAGCCAACCTGTTGATGATGTGATAAACCTGTTGTGTCAATAGTGAGTGGGAATTTTTTTCTTCTTTCAAAATAACAACTTAAACCCATTTTCATTGAAGAATATCAAAATATCCTTATTTAAATAGTAATGGTTCCTAATTAGTAATGTTCCTCCTCACTGTTCACAAATTATGGCCAATGTAGTTCTATTATACGTGGATTTTATGTTAATGCACAGACCCCACCGATCCCTTCATCAAAGCAGAGTACAAGTCATTAGCTAATATTTAATTGCAATGCCAATAATTATCTCATTTAAATCGAAAACCTACCTTCACAATAATGAATAATCTCCTTGGAATTTTACTGATAATAAAGATGCTGCACATGTGACAATGTGGCATGTTGCTCATTATGAACCTAATACTTTAAGTAGGGTATACCCTCAATTGGATAAATTATAGAATGGTACTGGTGCTAAAGGATGAAGATGACATTATGTTAATGCTTTCCCTTACTTGAGGTTACCACCTTTCATACAATTTCCAAAGAATTTGTTTGGGCCAATGGGGTCTACCCCAATAGAAAATGGCCTCGACTTGCAGACTAAAGGTCTTAGGTTTGAAGCCCCATGGCATCTTGGTTGTGTGTGTGAAAAAAACCCCTCTCCCATCCCATGTAGTGTTTTTTTTCGGGTGGATAAAAGAGCGATAGTATTTTATTGACTATCACATTATATCAATCAATCTAAAGCTCTTTTGAACTGTTTTCTAAAATAAGGCTCATGGACATGGCCCCAAGGAAGTAAGATTCTGCGAAAAGAAAAAGGAAACAAAATCAGTGAAGTTGTTTCCAAAATAAGAGTCCTGCTAAACCAAGTCTATTGCAATTGCAATTAACCAAAAACTCTTCTTTCCGTGTTAATTAAAGATCCCCCCCTAATCAGTGTAGCAGATTAAAGAAGGTGAACCGTTTGGTTGATTCATTCTGTGATTCGGTAAATGTAAAAAGGTAAAATCCACAGCCAAAATCACCATAAACTTGCAGTACTCGTGTGCCTGCAGCTTGCATAAAAAGCTTCAATTGGTTAAGAGGGGTAAAACTAAAACTCATCTTCTTAAGAGAGAAAAGAGAAGCAGATTTTTAGATCAAAATGGAGAGTTTAGAGTTGAAGTTTGACATCGCATGTGATTGTTGGGTGTTGGAGCCCATTGAAGGCTTCAAACCAAGACCCTCAAGTCCAACCTCTACCAACAGACCCTCCACTGATACTTTGCCATCATCAATACCTTCACCAACTAGCAATTCTGCACCACCATTGCAACCACTTCCAAGAAGTGGCTTGTCTTCTCCCACTTACTTCAATCTCCATGGTTTACGAAAGCCTAGTCAAGGAAGGTTTCACAAGATTGTGATTTGGTTTTGGAAATGTATCAAGCCAAGAATTCATTCAAGTCCTGCAAAAAAAGCGAAACAAGGAATGAAGCCTGGTGGTGCCTCAACCAAGACAAGAAGCAGTGTGCAGTCACCACAGGCATATCATGCTGAGTATTATTCTACAATGAGCCCCATTGAGCGCGATGAAAATCTAAAGGCGATCATCATCTACTGCAGGAAGTCTAATTCTACAGAGTCTACAGAAGTGGTAAGAAAATTTCAACTTCATGGCTCTTGTTAACGGTGCTTATCTCAATTGAAAGATGGAAAAACATGAGATATATTGACATGATATGATTTGTATTACTTTGCAGATGGCAGAAAACTGACGTTATATAAGCAGGAGGTAGATTGGATTCTTGTTATTCTAGAATCTACATTGTCTGATTAAAGGTTTCTTTTACATTTGGATTCTACTTTTGCCTGTGACGAGCTTTAGGCTTTAAATGGAGGCTACATATCAAGAAGCAGAGCAAAGAAGAGCCATTTTATTTCATGTATGTTTTATTAGAATGAAAGTGAACCCCATTAATTTGTCAATTGTCACTCGACAAGAAAGCGAAACCATAAAATCTGCTAAAATTTCTATGATATTTTTCTAAAATATTACTAAGCTGTCATAGCATTGTTTTTCTTGTTATCACACAAGACCATGGAACCAAATTCAACATGATACAGGTTTTTTACTATCAGTTTCCTACTGGTATTTATTTTGAATGCCAATTGAAGCCCAAAACGAGACCTGTTTTTGCTGGCACCATATGCCATTCCTTTGCCTTGAATTTAAAAATGGATTTGAACCTCCAAACCCTAAATCCAAGTCTCAAACCTTTCTCAAGCCTCAAATCCTAACCCCAAGACTACTATGGGGTATTTATGACTTGATTAGGCTTGGATACTCACGTAACTCAACCTAGGGTCTTCTTTTCCAATCTTTACCTTATGTTTGGTTGTTGAGAAAGCTATGGGGAAAGTAAAATTGAAAATAGAATCTCTACCTATTTAAAGAGTATAGCCGCCCGGCTTTACTTAAAATATATTAATATTTAAACAGTATAGCCGCGCGGCTATACGTTTAAAATACCCATTGCCAAATGCTAATTAAAAGGAAACGGTAAAGTAAAATGAATATTTTACGGGTAATCAAACGTACACATGTACCAGACCCACTTAATCGACGGTGCAGGAGACAGTATACTCCTCGGCTGAGAAACAAATTTTCCTTCTGTTTTCCCATCTACTTTCTCGAAGGCCAAACAGAGAGAGAACGAAGGAAAAAACTCAACTAGAAAAATTGTCAGCGATGAAGAAGCTAGCGAGACAATTGAGGAAGTCACAGGACGATGACTTGTCTCTCCCTACTTGGGACGACCCTACTCTCAACGATTCTCGTCCCCTAGACATTCAAGGTTTCTCTGAGTTCTATCTACGATTGGCTGCCGATAAATGCTATCAAAATGAAAATTTTGAATTTTTATTCGATTTTTGATTAAATGGGTTGTCTTGTTTGCAGAACAAGAAGAGTTGGTGCGTTCATTCGAGAAGAGTCAAGCTCAGCAGAGTCGTTTATGGAGGGTATATTTTAGTCCTATCCACCAAGTAAACAATTTTAGTTGATTTTCTTTTCCTTGCAACCATGAACTAATTGCTTGCTGATTCTTCTTTTGCTAGCTTTTGTTTGCATCACTTCTCTTTTGCTTCACTGCGTTTCTGTTATACTCGATCTTCCAGCAGGTTTTGTCTCCATGGGAATTGGTATGTTTATTCTCTCTCTCTCTCTCTCTCTCTCTCTCTCTCTCTCTCTCTCTCTCTCAGCATTTTGCTTTTTTCTTAGTTCTCATTGAATTACCATTTTCCAGTGTTATCAGCATTAGATGCTTGGCAATGGGAATTTTCTATCAATTACATTTCATTAATGCTTTGAAAGACATTGGGTTCAAATTTGGGATGGGTATTTAATAATATTTATTTTAACAATGAGACCTAATACAAGTAGTGAATATGTGGTATCTTCAATTAACAACTGTAAGGATTTCCGTTCTGAGATTAAGTTGGAAAATTTCACTAGGTAGATCTTGTTACTGTAGTTTAGAGATAAGCCGTGGGTTGAGTGCATTTTGTTGTTTATGGAACTTCGGAAATTTGAGGCATGTAGTATTTTCTTGTCAATCTGTTCTCTTCATTTGTTGTCACTCTCTAATATTGATGGTGAGACGAAGGTCAGATGGGCAACTTGTTTATTATATGTTGAATTTTGTGGCTATGTTTTTCTGAAAGATATATTTACGCACCGAACTGTCATATTTTGTTCTTGATCACAGCGTTATCATGCTTACTTCATGGAGGAGGTGCATTCATGGATGATTATATCAGCAGGTGTTTTTCCAATACTTATCATTAGTTGATAGTAGAGTCACATGCACCCATGAGATAACCAACTTATAATAATATATTTCCAACCGTTCGTTCCTTCAAATTTCTTCCTGTGGTAGCTTCACTGGTCTGATTTGAAACTGTATTCTGTACATGATATGTACTTTTGGACTAGTTTCATATAGGAACAGGTGGTTTAGCATACTTTTCTACTCGATGTATATTCTTTGGGTTTTAAACCTAATCCGTAATTTTTCACTGTTGAGGGAAGTAAACTTAGCATGATGTTTCAGTGTTTAAATGGCTGTGTTGTCACAATATTTTGAGATGAGAATATTAACTAATAAAAACTTTAACAGATTGGCTAGCTGTTGTAGCATGTTCATCAGCCATCATAGGATTACTTCATGATTCAAAGCATCACCGGCGATGGATTTGGTACTCGCTATTTACTGGCATTATACTCACAGTTTTCTGGTTGTATTACATGTTGAGGTATGTTTACTTCTCAAACACACACATTCTAATGTGAGTTAATTATCTTTTAATTTCTCTAACCAATATACTTAAGGCACCAACTAGTTCAAAACACATATGATACTTGTGCAGATTGCCAAGGTTCCGCTGGGATGTAATCTGGCTTCCATTTGGACCTCTAAGGTATGATCAAATGTGATTTATGTTCGTAAGTTGACCATGCAACTTTTAAATTTAATCACGAATGCATATGTATACATTGGAATTGCAGTGGAGCAGGACTCACTCTGTACGTCGATCATCTACTAATTGAGTCATCAGAAGAGATAAGAAAACTTCGAGGCTATATGTATGCTTACAAAGCAAGCTGAATCTCATGTTTGTTTATCTTTGACATTGATCCGAGATAGATAGCACAGGGAGTAGACTAAAAGTGTGACTCTGGTACGAGGGAGCTCGTATGAGCTGCATTAATCGCATGGAAAAATCCTTGTTAAACTCTAAGGTAATTCTCTTTAATCATATTTTGTAAAACTAATTTTGAATAATTAGTGGGGTCTGAGAGTTTATGAATTTTGTTTTAGAGGCCTCCTTAATTCTGCCCTCAAAAGTTCCCTCTTTCACGATTGGATCGCCTTTATCAATTTTTGTTCACACTGCATCAAAACAATCACATGCTAATGGAGTTTCAAAATGTTTTGGGGTTCTATTCACCTAGTGTTCTGGTACCCTATGTGCTCATTCATGTAGCCTCTTGTCCTCATGTATCCTAGTGCTTTGTGTGAATGGAGATAAGTCAATGAGTTTCTAATGACCTGTTTCTTCTCTGTTTCCTGATGTATCTGAAATTCATACCTCATAATATTGGAATAATTCCTGTCGTTTAATGTGGTGTTGGTAGATTTTAATTTTACTTGCGAGCTATGGCTTCAAATTCTGTTCTTTGATTTTATTTTGGCTGTCGACAGAGTAGTTATGCAATAATTTTTAATGTAGTTTAATAGGTTCCATGCTCTTTCTTTGAAACTGAATCTTAGTTTTTGACCTGGTCTACTTTCTTGGAATCTGGTTGCATGCTTATGTGGGTTTGAAATTTTACTGTTTTTTGGTTGTGATGGAATGCTAACCTGAAAATGTATTCTAACTGGCTTTGACGGGAGATATTTGGTAATACTTGGGTCATTCCTTTCTCCTTTTGTTGTTGATGGGGATTTCCCTAATGACTTGGGAGCGTTTATAAACTTTGCTTCTGACTGCTAGTGCTACTTACAGGAAGGGAAATTTTTTATTTTTGTTTTGTAAAAGCGCAAATTTTGAGTTTTAGGGTTGTTTTTATTAATATGCTTAATGGAGCTTTGGCTGAGTGTTTGCAGGCTTCATGTCAGAGGCTTCATATCTGCACAAAGAGTATCATAAAAGACCAAAAGAAAAATAAGTTGAGCAAATTTTATTTATACTTTATGTAATATTTATAAACAGACCTTTTGAGGAACGGTATTGTTTTCCTAACAAGAGATGTTACTAAAACCATGTTAGTCACGGAGTGCTGGACGAAATGTTTTTCTCAACTTTTAGCGCTGGTTTTCTGTACCGCCGCCTTTGTTGCTTTTTGAAACGTTCTAAACAAATATGGATACTTTTGTAGATTGCATGTGGAAATCTAAGGTATCTTAAAATGTGACATTCATGTCCATAAGTTGTTTATGCAACTTCTAGGTTTATTCATGAACACATAGGTATGCTATCATAGGTATTGTGTGGGAGAAAAAGTGAGACAAAAGGCACACTTGTTCATGTGAGATTAGGATTTCCTTATTCTTAATGGGTTTTGTTTTAATTTTTCTTATTATTTATAAATATGAAAAGCCACACTTGTTTTACATTCTTACGAAACAATTGGCTAGGCACACTCACTTTGTGGCAGCGAATGCGTTAGATTGTTTAAAGATATCAAACAGAGCCTATTTTTTTTCCCTCTGCGTATAATAAAGCAGAGTAATTTTGAAAACCAACAAAAACAACCAAACTCAAAATGTAAAAAAGTGTTGCAGTTCATAATTTTGAGTTCTAGATTTCACTTCTGACCCCCCAAAAAAAAAAAAAAAAACAGATTTATAGATTTTGCTTATTCGTTTTATTGAAATTTTATATATGTATTTTATTTTCACATCTCATATCAATTAGTTTCAACTTTCACTCACTGCTCAGAGTCTGAGATCCTCACACCCATCTACCTTTCCTTGGCCAGCAAGAAAAGAAATCCTGTTACGTCCAAACCCTTATTCTTAATTATTTTATCGTAGGGTTTCCTTGTTTTTTTAGTAGTTTCCTGTTTGATTTAGGATAGTCCAGTGAGTATATAATCATCCCATCGTTTCTTTTCCTTCTTCTGCAAATAAGTTTTCATCACCCACCAACCTAAACATTCAATTACGATAGCTCCAAAACCTCAAGTTTCAATCTTCAATGGAGACGCACAGCAATCTAAAGACATGGATATCGGATAATTTAATGGCCTTGCTCGGATATTCTAACATCGTAGTTGTTCAGTTCATTATTCGGCTAACTAAGGAAGCAACATCACCGGCTGGTGTGGTGGACAAGCTTCTTGATTTTGGGTTTTCCTCATCGAGTGAAATCGGCTCTTTTTCTAAAGAAATCTTCGCAAGAGTGCACCATGAAGCATCAGAGAGGGAAATTGCTAGTTTGGTGAGGAAGCTGCAGAGAACATATGATCACTTGGATGCAGATACTGATGATTATTATGAGTCCATGAAATCGTATTCAAAAAAGAGACGGTACAGGAAGAGGGTGTCGAGTGAAGAAGATGAAGATGAAGAAATGGAAGAAGAAAGACGGGTTAAAAGACGAACTTGGTCAGATGAATGCCAAGATAGTTCAGACTCGGAAGAAGAAAGATTGCGTGATCAAAGGGAGAGGGAGCAATTGGAGAGAAATATAAGGGAAAGGGAAAGGGATGCAGCAGCAGCCACAAGAAAGCTAACAAAGGAAAGGTTAAAACAAAGGGAGGCAGAGGAGGCTTTTTTCAGAACCAATGCTGATGTTGAAGCTTTGAGAAAAGTTTCGAGACAAGTATATTTAAAGAAAAGGGAGCAAAAGAAACTGGAGGAGATCATAGATGATTTAGAAGATATGAACTGCTTATTTGAAGGTGTGAAGCTAACGGAAGCAGAAGACAATGAATTAAGTTACAAGAAGCAAATATTAGAGCTTGTTAAGAAACAGTCAGATCTTGATAAGGCTGAGTTCTCTGTGGCTTTGCAACGCTACAAGGAGCTCAGTTCTTGTGACAAAACGAACTCGTTTTCGGAACAGAAATCTTGGGAGGATCAGCAAATTGGAAGGGCAACACTGATTTTTGGTTCCAAAGACAAAAAGAGATCAATATCTCAGGATGAGTATGAATTTGTGTTTGGAGACCAGATTGAGTTTATCAAGGCTTCAGAGAGAGAGAGTACAGATGAGTTTGATGATGTTCAGCCAGTCCAACCCGTGCATCCATTTGAGTCTAGGACGAAATCAACCTTGGAGAAGCTGCAGGAGGAGAGAAAAACATTACCAGTCTACTCATATCGTGATGAGTTACTCCAAGCAGTTGAAAAACATCAGGTTCTTGTTATTGTTGGTGAAACTGGATCCGGAAAAACTACACAGATACCCCAATATCTACATGAGGCTGGATACACAAAGCGGGGCAAGATTGGGTGCACGCAGCCACGGCGAGTTGCTGCTATGAGTGTTGCTGCTAGGGTTTCTCAAGAAATGGGCGTCAAGCTTGGACATGAGGTTGGTTATTCAATTCGTTTTGAGGATTGCACCTCTGAAAAAACTGTTTTGAAATATATGACTGATGGAATGTTGTTGCGTGAATTTCTTGGTGAACCAGATTTGGCAAGCTATAGTGTGCTGATGGTGGATGAGGCTCATGAGAGAACTCTCTCAACAGATATTTTGTTTGGATTAGTAAAGGATATTGCACTATTTAGATCTGACTTTAAACTGCTAATCTCAAGTGCAACTCTTGATGCTAAGAAATTCAGTGAATATTTTGATTTTGCCCCAATTTTTCATTTTCCAGGAAGGCGGTATCCTGTCGATGTAGTCTACACAAAAGAACCACAAGCTGATTATTTGGATGCAGCCATTGTTACTGCACTTCAAATCCATGTGACAGAAGCACCTGGAGATATACTGGTATTCCTCACTGGTCAAGAAGAAATTGAAATGGCAGCAGAAGTATTGAAACACAGGACAAGGGGCCTTGGAACAAAAATTGGTGAGCTGGTTATCTGTCCCATATATGCAAACCTGCCTACTGAGCTGCAAGCAAAAGTTTTTGAGCCCACGCCTTTAGGGGCTAGGAAGGTTGTCCTAGCCACAAACATTGCAGAGACCTCACTGACCATAGATGGGATCAAATATGTCATTGACCCTGGATTTTGCAAGACAAAATCTTATAATCCAAGGACTGGGATGGAATCATTGCAGGTGACTCCCATCTCCAAGGCATCAGCAAGGCAAAGGGCAGGTCGATCTGGCCGAACAGGCCCTGGTAAATGCTTCAGGTTATACACTGCTTTCAACCATCAACATGATTTAAATGATAACACAATACCTGAAATACAACGGACGAACCTTGCAAATGTCGTTCTAATGCTGAAGAGCCTCGGTATTCATGACTTGTTACATTTTGATTTCATGGATTCTCCACCTACTGAAGCTTTAATAAATGCCCTGGAGTTGTTGTTTGCACTAGCTGCATTGAACAAATATGGAGAGCTGACTAAAGTTGGTAGACGGATGGCAGAGTTTCCTCTTGATCCAATGCTATCTAAGATGATTGTTGCTTCCGACAAATATAAGTGCTCGGATGAGGTTATTTCCATCGCTGCTATGCTTTCTGTTGGTAATTCAATTTTTCACCGTCCAAAGGAAAAACAAGTCCACGCTGACAACGCGCAACTGAATTTTCAAACTGGGAACGTGGGAGATCACATTGCCTTGCTTAATATTTACAACACATGGAAAGAGGTAAATTACTCAACACAATGGTGCTACGAAAACTTTGTACAGGTAAGGAGCATGAAAAGAGCAAGAGACATCCGGGATCAACTTGAGCGGCTCCTGGAGAGGGTTGAGATTGAAATAACCTCAAATCCTGCTGATTTAGTGTCGATAAAGAAGGCCATTGCCTCTGGCTTCTTCCCTCGTGTGGCAAGGTTGCTTAAAAATGCATGTTACAGAAGAATAAAACATCCACAGACTGCCTACTTACACCCCAGCTCAGGGCTAGCACAAGTGTCTCCAAAATGCGTTTTATACCACGAAATGGTGCTCACAGCAAAAGAATATATGAGGAATGTAACGGAGATAGAGCCGAAGTGGTTGGCAGAAATAGCTCCACATTATTAACAGCTAAAGGATGTTAAGGATTCTGGGTCAAAGAAGATGCCTCGCTGCCAAACCACTTCAACTGAATACTGTATTTAGAAGAAAACTGTGTATTCTAACGTTTAGGTTTAGAATGTATAGATTTGAATGTATGATAATGTTCACGAAATCCTTTGTGTTATTTTTGCTTAAAAACTAACTTCTAGAAATTTAATGTTTTCTTTCACGTATCATTTGCAACATCACGCATTCCATTAACCTTCTTCCTTGAAAGTATAACAAATGGGCAGCTCGGCCATCAGACTCACTTTTAGATATCAGTATGATTTCCTCCAGAGGGGAAAGAAATTTCAAGAGAGAGAGAGAGAGAGAGATTAAAAGGTAACCAGAAAACCAAATCACTTAAACCAAAAAGTACATTACTGATGCTGAATATTTAGCCAAACAAAAATACACCAAACTACTGAAACAAGTCTTTAGTCTCTCAAGGTTTTTGCCAAAAAGCTTATAAAACTCTTTCTGCCTATTGAATAGATTACTTAGATCACACATTAATGGATCAATCATCCTCTTCAATGACCTTGGTGCCCAACCCACTCAGTCCTTCAGCTGGGATCTCTGCAACGGTAACAAGTGAGTAAAGCTCTTCCTTGGCATCTTCATCATCATTCCTCTTGCGAGCAATGCGAACCCTAATCCTTCTTGGGACGCTCCTGATTCCTCTGCTCCAGATCTGCTTGTTCAGCTTCACATCCACCCTAACGTCATTTGTCCCCATTGCCTTCTGAGCGAACTTTCTGATCTCCTTTATGGCATTAGGAGCCTTCTTCTTGAATGTGCTGTTATGTAGAATGACAGTGCATAAGAGAGTTACTTGTGTGCTTTTCCAAAGCTATTACAGAATTCAATTGATATTGGAGTTCAAGTATTACATGTTGTGCAAGTATTACAAACTTTACAACAAACACAGACACTGCAAAAATTTCACAACAATGTTTGTAGGTGCAAAGGCATTGCAGTAAAATTGATGGAATTATGTGGAAAGCTATATCTGGTTCAATTACCATGTACAAGGTAACAAACAAAGCGACATTCAAGGAAATAAAAACCTATGTGAAACTTCCTGTCTCCCCAGACCTTTAAACGCCATCCACATCTGAGACAGATATACCCCTATGACTTTCAAAAGTCATCCACCTCTGCAACAACTTATACTAACTCCATAGCACAGCCCTACAATCCGTACTAAAGTTCACCCCAGCCACCCTCTAGTAGTCTCACCATCAAAAAGGCACCCTAATCCATACACCCACCAAAACCTGAGCATCTCCACCTGAAAACTCTAATTTTAATAATACCCAATCTATAATCACATTGAACAATGACAGCCATCGCCCATTTCCCTGATCCCAATCAAAGTGCCTGCAAGATGTTGAGGCCTTGCAAGAAGAACCAGCCCGCCAATTTTGTTAACTGAGATCCGCATTAGACCTTTTCTCTGTTCCTGATTTCTCTTTTGACACAATTATATCTTTCTAGTCAAATAACTTAACAGATTTACGTTGGCCATTAAAGCTAAACAAATAAACCCCGCTTGGGTGTAAGTTGAAATTACTCGCTACTGATTTCTTAGAAGCAAAGGCGCTCTCTGACAATCCAGAAACACATAACCATAAGAAGATCAATTCTAAATAAAACTCAGGAAACAGGCCAATATGAGGCTAGCCAAACAATATGATGAGCAAAACAAGCAGCCACAATCAAACGTTTATAATAAAAATAGCTACAAAACATAAACGAAAGCATAATATATTACCAGCCATGGAGGCGCTTGTGGAGATTGATGGTGTACTCTCTGGTCACCACCTCCTCCTTCCTTCCCTTTGTCTTCTCAACCATTTTCACACTCTCCTTCTACAACTGTACCTGCACTGAAATCCCCTCACTTTAGAATCTCCACAACTTAAATATCCAATCTTTAAAAGAAATGGTCCTAGCTTTCAACAATAGGGAACCCAAAAACAAAAGGCATAGATCCAATTCGAAAGATTTTTTTCTTTTGTTGACGTCGATTTCTCAGCGACCAAACAGAGAGTGAACAACTTAAGCTTTAGAAGAACAACTCCATACGAGGGAAAATGTGCGAGAGAGAGTGAGAGAGAGAGACTAACCTTAGGGCTTGAAGTGAGGCAGAAAGAGAGAGACGAAAGAGAGAGGCGCTGGGAGATCAACTAAAAAAGGAGCGCAAAACCCTAGCTTCCACACCGTTATAAGGCTCTATCAGAGTTAGACGACATGTCGCTTGTTAATGCGTTTTGTTGTCATGAACGTCGTGTCCTCTTACATATTTCTCACGGATGACACGTCACTTGCATTTCCTTCTACAATTAACCAATTAGAGATGGTAATATGGTGATTAAATCATTTTAGTTGTCAACAAAAATTAAAAAAGTCGTTCTGTAAAGAAAATTGAAAAAAAAGGATTTTGCTTTTAAATTTGTGTTCGAGTTTTTTCTTTTGTTACAACTCATTGAAACTCTGTTTCCTTTTTTTTTTTTTTTTTTTTTT